AGGAAATGAAGCTATGGAGGAAAGCCGCCGGTGCCGTGAAGGACCAGAACAGCATCCTCCTAGCCAGCTTCCTGACCCCTCGGAGCTCTTCCCGGGACGGCAGCCTCGAGGCGGCGATCATCAAGGCCACCAGCCACGACGGCGACCGCGTCGACTACCGCCACGCGCGGCGCGTGTTCGAGTGGATCAGGACGTCGCCGGTGAGCCTGAAGCCGCTGGTGTGGGGGCTCAGCGTGAGGATGGAGAGGACGCAGAGCTGGGTCGTGGCTCTAAAAGGCCTCATGTTGATGCACGGCATCTTCTGTTGTGACACGCCGGCGGTTCACCGGATCGGAAGGTTGCCGTTCGATTTGTCGAATTTTGCCGACGGGCATTCGAATCCGACGAAGGTGTGGGGGTATAATACGTTTGTTAGGGCCTACTTCACGTTCTTGGATCGGAGATCCTCCCTCTTGTACCCCACTTGCAGGTATGCTTATCATAACAAAAAGATCAGCCTTTTTCGGATTATTCATTTGACACGAAATGGTCTGCGACGTATTGTCAGGAACCAATTTTTTTCGTTGCATGATTTCATGTTGATTCTTTATTTATGTTATAATTAACGCGTCGTTATATATGAAAAATGTGAAAATGTATGTGATAAACGAAGAAGTTAGTCAAATGTGTTCATGGATATAAAATCATCGTCAAGTACATTTTCCCCCGATAAAGCATCGGCAAGTACATTTGCTTGAATGAGGAACTTCTTTGTTAGTGAAAATGAATAATCTAGCTAGCCATTGAATTATGTGCATTTGAATCATTTGTTGCATGAAATCAAAACTTTGTGATATTTTACCAAGTCAAAGATGTACTCTTCGAGAGATTTTGATAATGAATTGGGTAAGATTGTATATGGATGCTTAGATTTACGTGAAATCAGACGCAACCAAACGAAAAAACATTAATTTTTCGTTCTCGAGTCTCTCGAATCTTTTTCATTTCGAACCCTAATAAAAAACCCAACACACTCTACTCCTATAGAGAAACATAAAAATTCCCTCAATTTTTTATTTTTCATATGGAAGAATCTAAACATTATCAAGATTACAAGACTTTAAACTTTGGAATCTCAAATTGTGTATTGTAGCACAAACCACAAGTGCAGAAGGATGTTGTCGTCAAAAAGAACGGCCATGACTACTGCTCCTCCGGCAGCCAACGACGAGGACAACCAAGATGTCGTTATGATCACAAAGGTGGAACTGTGGCAAGAGATCCAGAAGCTCCAGAAGTGGCAGAAACTGCTGGACCTTCTCCTTCAAATCAAGCCACTGGCCGACAACATGAAGCGAGATGCTCTGATAATGGAGGCCATGGACTGCGTCATAGTGGAGATCTTCGACCTCTACGGCAACATCTGCAGCGGGGTTTCACGGGTCCTGATGGAGGTCCACTCGGCCGGAAAGGCAGAGTCCACCATGGCACTTCGAGTGCTGCAGAAGGCCAGGGTTCAGGGCAAGAACCTGGTTCTCTACTTCGAGTTCTGCCGCGCATTTGGAGTTTTCAGCGCCATGGAGGTCCCCAAGGTGACCCCAATCCCCGAGGAAGACATCAAGGTGAGATATTGGTTTCGATTTTTCGCTTTAAACAGAAATTGAATCGATCGATAAGGTCCATATCAGTTTCGATTTTATTTTTTAAACTGGTTTCTATCTTGCCAGTTTCGGTTTAAACCAAAAAAAAAAAATCACTAAGCAACCGAAACCAGAACAACAGTAGTTGTGAGGTGTCAGTTTCGGTTTAAACCAAAAAACCAATAAAAAACCGAAACCAGAAAAACAGTGGTTGAGAGGTGGGTGTAAAGAGTTTTCATTATAATTGGAGATGTAGGGGTTTTGATTTCTGCTTACCAAAATCGAACACAGATAACACCTTAACGGGTTTGGTTTCGATTTTAGAAAACACATTGACATCCCTAGTTAAGACTTTGTATATTGTCAAGAATAAAAATCAATTGTTCCAATACTCAAGTTGTTGGAAGATATTCAATTATAAATCTTATATATCACATACTAATATACCCCTTCAAACGAAAGTATACTCATATGAGTTTGAAGTTTGCACAAGTTCAGAATACCATGTGCTTTAACAAATGTGGTCATCCTGATTCGTACAAAAGACTTTCTACCACAGACTTTAATACCATGTCAAAAACAATTGGTTCCAATAATTCGAGTCAGTTGGAAAATATTTAATTGTGATATCATATATGTCATGTAATAATACTTCACTATGCAGGTGCTGGAGCACATGGCGAGTGGCGTTTCAGAGCTGGAAGAGATGGTGTCGAAGAAAGGAGGGGATTACTACAAAGCTACTTCCGACGCCGGCGCCGGATTTCCCCTTCACGAAAAGAGCTACAAAGCTGCAATGGAAGATGCTGATGGTGAAGTGACGAAGAAGAAGAAGATGAATGTGAGCATTACTGCTAGTGGGAGGTTGCAGACGGTGATAACGGACGAATGGGAGGTGTTTGATGATAATAATGATCAAGAATCTGTCGGTAATTACGGTGATTTGTTGTCGATATGTGATGTTGGGTCGTCGCCGCCGCCGACGAATCCATTTGAGATGCCGGACGATCAGCTGATGGATCTGCTATCTACTCTGCCCACGCCTACCCATGATGAACAATATCAACTTTGTGTGTATAAACAAGATGAGCTACCTGATTTGATTAGTTTCTAATTAAATTGGTTTGATTAATTATTATTAATTAGTTGCCAGGCCAGTGCTGCAACCGAAGAGATGTTCAGCTTCATCATTGGTTAATGAATGATGTACATTTTGGCTGGATCAGATCAGTTTTGGTTCTTCTTCAATCTCTGTCTCCCTTTTTTTGGCTTTGCTCCATCTTTAATTTGATGGGATTATAAAAGGATAATAAAAAAAATTCAAAAAAAAATTATCTTAGATTATCAAGGGTTTGTTTGTCTGAATCTATTATATATGTTCAATATATATTATAGTAGATTGAGAACGAGGATAGGTAATTGAAGAAGTACAATTAAGAACTAGGGAGATTAGTGGTCTTCTTCAGCTTCTCAATGGTGAGCAAAGTTTTTTTTTTATGGGAACAAGATTTATTATCGGTTTCGTGTGTTGGAAGCATGTCAGTTTGGCTTGGTTAACCAAATCGTTAAGTATGAAAAATAAAAAAAAACTAATAAATTTCTAAAAATCGTAATCGCTAAGGGTTTTACCGGTTATTGATCAATCAATAAGCCTCTTAAGGATTTTGGTTTGATTTGGATAAACCAAAAAAACATAACTCATAGTTTGCAAAATTCAAAAATGGAGTTAGAAAAGGCAACAAAAGGCATGAAATAGGAAAAAAGTTCACTACACATAAGTTAGTGATAATGTGTTGTTGACAGGTATTGATGACTTCTAATGTTATAGGTTTCAATTGATTTTTTGGTTTTAACCTAAACCAAAACCATTAAGATGGTAAACGATTTTAAAACTGAAAAATAAAGACCATTAAACTTCTTATCAATTTCACATTGACAGCCTGGCAGGTCATAATCCAAATTGTACCTCATGTAAGAGCTTATAGTCAGGGTTTCGATAACAATCTCACTTGGCAAATATTAGAATTATAGTTAAGGTTTTCTATATCTACCCATTTGGTCTATAACTCTATATTGATTTGAGCAGTAGATTTTGGTCCATTTAACTAAATGGTTTAATTATAGACTTGTTAAAAATGATTGACCCACCTATTATTAGTAAATAATTACCTAACCAAATTATTCAATAACGAGGTAGTGATGAGAATCAGTATATCCTAATAGTTTGTTATTGGAATGTTCAAATCAATAGTTTTACTGGTTTTTGGCCCGCGCTCCGCTGACGTAAGAAACTAATGATTTCGTTTAAAATAACAAAATTATTCAGATAAGATACATATGTAAGTTTCACGTGATGTCTTAATCATTACGAATAACTTACATCATCCATGGGTAAGTGATACATTGTAAATAACTATTTCTACGTAAATTTTAAGGAGTGTTTAATTATTGTAGAAAATTTACATATTATTTTTTTTAATTTATACATAATGATTATTCGTCCATAAATTTTACATGGTGCAATCATTAAGGAAAACTCATGTAACAGTTATCAAACGTACTACATAAATTTTCATAGTGTGTGGTCTAATAGTATAATCAAGTTATAGTAAGTAACATCGATGAATTTTTAATTTATGTAATTTTTATTGAATGTTGTTACATAAATATTTCATAACATGTGATCTAATAATAATTTCTTATTAATTTTAGACTTATCGTAGAAGTGGTTGTAGAGAATAAAACTCATATGAATACTAATTTTTAATTTATGTAACTTTTATTGAATGTTGTTACATAAATATTTAATAATATGTGGTCTAATAATAATTGCTTATGAATTTTAGACTTATCATAGAAGTGGTTGTAGTGAGTAAAACTCATATGAATAATATTGCAGAAATGGAGATTCATAAAATGTGCTCTAATAATAATTGCTTATAAATTTTAGACTTATCACAGAAGTGGTTGTAGTGTATAAAACTCATATGAATAATATTGCAGAAAGGGAGATTCATAAAATGTGGTCTAATAATAATTACTTATGAATTTTAGACTTATTGTAGAAGTGGTTGTAAGGAATAAAAATCATATAAATAATATTTTAGAAAAGGAGAAAAAAGGTTTTATGGTAAAATTGGGTACATGAGAAAAAACCCTATTGTAAACAGTATCCATAGAGAAAAATAGCCTAGTTTTCTTAATGAACAGTAAAAAGTGCTTGTTAATGGATGTTCAAATCAAAATTAATCTATGACTTTGGAGTTTTGCACAAATCCATTACACCTTATGTTCAAATAAACTATTAATTTCTTGAAGATGTGAGAGTATATATCTTGCTACAATACCTTTTTTATAAAGAAGGTAATCGGGAATACCAGGAAAAATGGAGTTACATGATTCATTAATATAGTGTGTGCTAGCCATCGCACATCCACAGTTAAAGACTCTCGAGAACAATACAAAAGGTCATATAACCATTTGATAACGAATTCAAGACATTTCAATAAGATATCTCAAACCATAAAACATACCCAAAAAAATCGATAGCACATCATAAAACCGATTAGTACTAATAACCGAAATGGATAAAAGTTAGAGAAAGAGATCACGAAACACATGGGGTGGAAAGTATGAAATGGGTGACTTAAATGTGTTGGTGGGAGGAATCTTATTTATTTGCCTCATTCAACATTCACTGTTTAGGGAAGGTCGATACTCGATCCACATTACTCTTTTTTTTTTTTTTTTTTTTCCTTTGGTTTGCTTTTCTTTTCTTTTCTTAGGGTTCACCTTTTCATGCCTCTCCCCATCTCTTTATCCCCTTATTGCTTTGCTGCTTTCCTTTCACACAATCTTTTCCACCTATTGGAGCCGTCTCCTTCTTTCTCTCAGGACTATTGGGAGTTCAGTTCAGTAGCTGTAGTGATCACAAATTCACTCTCTGCAATTACTACTTTGGGGAGAAAGCAGGTAGAAGAGGAAGGAAAGATGAGGTGCCAATTAGTCAAGGAGGTGAAGGACAGCAATGGGGATTTAGAAGAAGAAGAAGAAGAAGAAGAAGAAGTGTGGCCGGTGGAACACCCCGTGGAGCCAATGGATGAAGACCGTCCAGTCATCTGCCCAATTCCTACCTCTTTTCTTCTTCCTCAAGTAAGCCATAACAATTATGTACTCATACATATATCTTCTTCCTCAATTTTGTTATAAAATTTCAGAAATTATGGGGTCGTTTGCTTGTTGGATTTGAAAAATGAGGGTTTTGGCCAATAAAAACCTTGGGATTTATGTTGGATTTATTGGATTATGGTTTTGAAGAGTCTAATGTTTGCATGATAGATTTGATGATGGATTTGTTAAATAAATAACTAACCATCAAGGATTTGCAAATACCAAATCAATATGTGGGATTTAGAAGTCCGTGGGGTCCACGGATTTGGTTCCAAAATAAAGACCAAATCCGTGGACCCCACGGATTTAGCACCCTTCAACAAACAATGGACTTATGTTAAATCCATCAAACTTGAAATTTGGGTACCAAATCCATGACCCAAATCCAACAAGTAAACGACCCCTAAGTTGTTATACTGTTTCGAAAGAACCAAAACTTGCATAACCACTTTATACACGTATAAAAAGAGACGAGACCCCTTTGAGTAATTAGTCGATGGGTTAAATTACAATCTATCTCCTTTGGCCATTGTTTGACTTGTTGTCATATTGTTTTAACTGAGACCTGCTATATACAGGAAGGAAGAAGTCGTGATCAAAAGAAAAAGGTGGAAAGTTGGAGAAAGAGAGCGGAGAATCCAGTACTAGCAATAGCAACAACGCCGATTATGATTAATAATAATAATAATAATATGGATAGGCTCGAAGCGGCAGAGGGCGATCAGAGTATTGGAGTAATTCGTAAGCGTTATCATACACATATCAACCAGAAGGTGTATCGTGATGATTATCTTCGTAATCATCATCCAATTCGTGAAGATGGTTTGAGAAGAATGACGACTTTACCTCCCCCGTCAAACAACAATGTTGCTGATACCATCTTTCATATGCTTCAACGTGCTCCTTAACTGGTTATAAGTTTTTTCTCAATTTTACTCTTAGTTTCCCCACTTCTTACTTCTAAGAGGTAGCCCCCATAGCTCCAATTAATGTTTTGACTTTTGAGTATAAGTGATTGCGTGAGAAGGAAAAAAAATACAAAATTATTGTCAATGAATATGGTGTTTGAACTTTATCTAAATACAAATATTCAAAACAAAAGCCTCATACTCTCTAAATATCGAGTATTGATGCAGCAATGTTAGAAGTTTATGTTAACTCTTACTAGTAGAGAATCCAGATAATCGACTTCCCAGCTGAGAGTTTCACTAATGGTTGTCTCCATAATCACACTAAATAGCTTGAGAAGAAATAAAATAATATTATTTCAATAACATTTATAACGACTAATATGATGTGAATGTTAGCCAAACCTTTTTATCCAATCCTACGAACAATAATTCAAAATTAGTATAACCATATCCGATCCTAAACCAATTAACTCATGTTCTTGCTAGTACTTATGGGATTGGGTAAGGTACCCATGGTTGGGGGTGAAAAAAGAACAAAAAAACACAATGAATCCATATGCATTTGGTAAAGTTTAGTGGCTAGTTTGCACCTTTAGAAAAACCAGTAACCAGTTGAGTTACAAACTAAAAGTCCAGTGACTAATAGCGGATTTATAAATTTTATATTTTTACTCCCCTGGTGCCCCTGCAACCCCAGACCAACTGAACAAGCTTAGCCGAAGGAGATTACCAGAAAGAAACAAAGTGGATAATTGGAAAGGTAAGGTTTAGGGAGGGTTTTAAGTCGGATGCTGTCCACTCCAATCTCCATGAACAACTCATCACTTCAATTCTTCTCAATCTCTTCCCCCTCCCCATCTCCTCTCGTCTTCTATCCCTCTGAATTGCATTACACCTTCTCCATCTTATTTGATGTCCAATTCTAAACCCCCTTTTCTCTCTTTAAGAGAAATCGATCACTTCATCTTCTTCAATACAACGCCGTCAGTTCTCTCTCCAGCCCCGCCGGTATCGCCCACAGTTATGTGGAGAAACGGAGCCAAACATACCATTTGCAAAACCCAGAGAAGTGCATTGAGTTCTTCGGCTTCTTTCTCAAATGCCTGCAGCTTCCAAAGCCTCTCGCTGGGCCGGAATTTTTCTGTAAAATCCAAACTTTATCCGATAAATATCTTGAATCCCCATCTGGGTTTGTGTCCCAGAGGTGAAATTCCGCGCAAGGATAACGATAGTGGCCTGAGATGCGTCCCTTTGTTGCCGAGAGGGTTTTCCTGTGGTGGGTTTTACCCGAGAAGCTATGCGAGCGTAGCAGAGGCAGTTTCGTCGCATACGGATTTAGAAGAGGATATTTCTTTCACGGAAGAAGTGCAAGAGTTGGTTCAGGAATTGAGGAAGGAACAGCGGAAGGAAACTGCGAGGAAGAGATGGGAAAGGATTGCGCCTGGAATGGGATGGAGGAAGTATGAGATGTTGAAGAGAAGGCAGGTTAAGATTGAGACTGAAGCGTGGGAAAGGGCAGCTAATGAGTACAGGGAGCTTCTGAAGGAGATGTGTGAGCACAAGTTGGCTCCCAATTTGCCTTACATGAAAAGTTTGTTCCTTGGTTGGTTCGAGCCCTTAAGGGATGCAATTCATAAAGAGCAGGAGTTAATTAGACAAGGGAAATGCAGGGCAGCCTATGCCCCATACTTTAATCACTTGCCCGCTGACATGACTTGTGTTATCACAATGCATAAGCTTATGGGCCTTATGATGACAGTTGGGGAGCATGGATCAGCTAGGGTTGTTCCTGCTGCTATTACGATTGGAGATGCCATTGAACAAGAGGTGGGTGATTGTAAAAATTGGTTCTTCATTTGATATGCTGTTATATGGTTGGAACTTTCTTGGTTTATTTGATGAAAGCCTCCTTTTTTATTACGAGGCAGATCAGGATACACAACTTCTTGGAGAAAACGAAGAAGAAGAAGGATGCCAAAGTTGAGAAACGTGAAGGGGATGGATCTGGTGTGGTGGAGAAGGAGCAAGAGAAGTTGAGAAGAAAAGTTACTGAATTGATTAGGAAACAAAAGTTGCCAGCTGTTAGACGAATTGTGAAGGATTATGATGAATCAAGACCTTGGAGCCAGGAAGCTAAGGCTAAAGTCTGTTATCTTCTTATCCACGGTGCAATGCATTTCTGTTTCTTTCTTATTCATACATGATAGAGCGCTGTCTTATACCTCCCTCAACTACATGGCAGGTTGGGAGCCGCCTAATTGAATTACTCATACATACTGCATATATTCAACCTCCTGCGGATCAATTATGTGAAGGTCCTCCTGATATTCGACCTGCATTTATACATACTGCCCTAAGTATCACCAGGGTGGACAAGTATGTTCTCATGCTTGTTTATGTTGCCTTTAATGGGTGTATATTTTATCCTTCCTTTTTTCTACTTAACCGTGCTTTTATGCCTTGTTTCAATAGGAAGACAAGTAGAAGATATGGTGTCATTAAATGTGATCCAGTAGTTCTTAAAGGGCTTGAGAGAAGTGTGAGTCATTCATCTGTCTTTCATTTTATTTTTCTTTGGTAATATGTGGTTGCTACTTATTCTTAGCTGTTGTCTGAAACCACTCGTGGAGTAGATGATATTGTTTTCCCTGCGGGATAGTTGGTAAAATTTGTTTATGTTAACAGGCAAGGCACATGGTGATACCTTACATGCCAATGTTGGTGCCTCCTGTCAAATGGATGGGGTAAGTGATGTTCTATGTCATCATGGCCCTGCTGCTTTGACGAGATGTTATCTGGTTCTGTTCGCAATTAAACGTAGTTCATGCCACTCATACCTAGAGTGATTTCTTTTTGGAGTTTGGACCTGATAAGCAGCGATATGTTTTAACAAATTTATCACTTGGGGCATAAGTTAAAGCACAAAAGGATGACACTAACTAGTTAGCTGATATGTCTTACATCTATCACTGATTTCAGTTGTGCAATGTACAAGAAACACAAATGGGCCTAGTTAGATTTCAGTAGCCATGACAAATATCTTCTGGTAAAGGCATAAGCAACAGAAAAAGCTTTATTCTCGGCACTTATGTACAACCTCTGTCAAGTCCTACACTAATAAATTTTGTCCTTTTGCTCTACGTTCTATAGTTCTATGTGTGATTTACAAAAGAAAAACGTGTTTATTTCTTTTGGTGTTTAGGTCAGCTAAAGTATGAACCTTCCACCTTGACCTTTGACATGTAAAGAAGGGAAGTAGGGTGGTTGAGGAAAGACAATTACAGTGTATTCGACTTTCATTTATGTATTGTTCATTCTGTACCAACCCAGACAGTTTATAATAACTCTAGTGTTTACAGTGCCCAGTTTGTGGGAGAAGTTCAGGCCCTTTATATTTGTAGTCCATAATTGGTCGCTGAGGGAGTGGAAGGAACCCTTTAAGCCTCTTTTGAATTCTGTGTCCCTTTAGCTCTTTTATAGTTGAAGCAGCATATAAGTGTTACTTGTATCATATGATCCTCTTTAAGTTTTAGATTCTTTATATGCAATGCATTTATCTCTGTTTGGTTTATGGCATTCTGTATACTCTTGCCAGGTATGACAAGGGAGCTTATTTTTTCTTACCTTCTTACATCATGCGCACTCATGGTTCCAAACAGCAACGTGAAGCAATGAAAATTGCATCAAAGGCACAGTTAGAACAAGTTTTTGAGGTTTGTGAACTATCATGTATACTGGCATGCTGTTTTGATTTTATATGCTATATTAGTGATCTGCACAATCAGGTAATAATCATTTGTCTGGTTGAAATTCAGGCCTTGGATACACTTGGGAGTGCTAAATGGAGGGTAAATAAAAGGGTACTTGATGTTGTAGATAGAATATGGAACAGTGGAGGTCGTCTTGCTCATTTGGTGGATCGAGACGATGTGAGTATGCTACCTGTTAAGATTTTAGTCATAAAATGTTACATCCCACTGGTGCAGTCAATGAAACCATTGTCAAACATTTACTGTGCACTGAAGATTTCTTCTCCAATTTGTTTATCACAGGTTCCTTTACCAGAGAAGCCTGATACAGAAGATGAAACTTTATTAAAGAAATGGAAATGGAAATTGAGAAATGCAAAAAAAGAGAACCGGGAGAGGCATTCCCTCCGCTGTGACACAGAACTCAAACTTTCTGTAAGACCAACCTGATTGCATGTTTTGAGTACCATTTAAGCTTAATGTGACTACTTCATTATGTCTGTGTTATTTGGACTCAGGTAGCACGCAAAATGAAGGATGAAGAAGGTTTCTATTATCCACATAATGTTGATTTTCGAGGACGGGCATACCCCATGCATCCTTACTTGAACCATCTTGGTTCAGATATGTGTCGAGGCATTTTGGAATTTGCAGAAGGCCGTCCTCTTGGGAACGTGGGTTTGAGATGGCTGAAGATACACCTGGCAAACCTGTATGCTGGTGGTGTGGATAAGTTGTCATATGAAGGTCGAGTAAGTTTTACAGAGAATCATTTGGATGAAATATTTGATTCAGCGGACAAGCCACTAGAAGGAAACCGCTGGTGGTTACGTGCAGAAGATCCATTCCAGTGCTTGGCAGCTTGTATTAATCTGAGCGAAGCTTTGAGAAGTTCTTCTCCAGAGACCTATGTTTCATATCTTCCCATCCATCAGGTATTTCATCTGCATATTAGCAGTATTTGTTTTAGCTTTTGCTAAAAAGGCGACTTTTTCTCAGTTTGTAGAATGTGGAAAAATTTGAGTTGGTGGAATGCAATATATTATTTAGTAATAATATAAGAGTAGTTGATGAGATTGTAAATAATTTGTTGAATTGTAAAACAATGTGTGGATTTTGGAAAATGACTATTGTGGGTGAATAGCTTCCTTTTCAAAGAGTTTAAGTCCTACTTGAATCGTTTAAGTGAGGTTTCTTCCATATTCTAATTATTGATAGATCTGATGTGAATATTTGTTTTAAGAAGTTAGATTGAAGAACTTTGTTCATGTCATTGTAGCATGCAAATACTTCTAGTTGACACTTAGGATAACTGAAATAAGTGACCGAATAAGCGATCTCATCTTTGTATTGCTTTGTGGTAAAGATATGCAATATTACTATATCTAGCCCAAATCAACAGTAATTCTGTAATTTTTATTTTTATTTTTTTGGTTTATTTCTTGTACCATCTATGCTTTCATAAGTTTGTTTCTTCATTTCAATAATGTGAAGTTTATAACTTGTCTGTAGGATGGTTCGTGCAATGGTTTACAACATTATGCGGCACTTGGAAGGGATAAGGTACTGGTTGTCTCATTTTTCTTAGGAGATGCTTAATCTGAAACCACATATACACAATGAACTAAG